GCAGGATTATGAATGAATGAATGAATGAATACCATAAATTGTCAGTGAATGTCCTTGAATGAAGCACATAAGTGCCTTCATACTGGTGAATACACAGAGATGCTCTGTTCAGTGCATATCAAGATACAGTGAATGAGTACACAATGAAATGCAACAGATGGAAAAAACCTAGATCAGTAAGTGGGCTGCTTCACACTATCAGTTGGTTGGCTGCACTGAGTTGGCTTCCTCAGCTGCCCATCACAGGGCCAGCCCTATACAACCATGAATGGGCACGTTTGGGCTCACACTGCTCTTTCCATCCTTCATACACTTGCATCTAGTTGTTATCTTTACTGCTAGTAGCTAGTGCCTCTCCACAGATATCTAAGAAGGGGAAATAAAGAAGCTTTTTGTGCCACAGGGTTGCTCTTGTGTCTGGTAAACTGTAATGGAGGATTGATTCTAAAGAAGCCTGTTTGCATGGAATGAGGTTGTAGGGGAAGAAGACTACACACAATATGCCAAACTCATGTGAACCAGTTTGCACATCATTCCATTGTGAGTTAATTTACCTGCAAGTTGCTGTGGCTCTGTTATGAATATGTAAGCCTCATATTCAGGTTACCATGGTGGGCTATCCTAACCATGTCAGGGGTGTTCAGACCAGATGGCCAGTGTTTGGTGTGCACCTCCAGTGTGACTGCCAGAACCTCTTTGGATTACCCAAGGTAGCCATTTCCCAAAAAGAGGACACCAATTTGTGTAATTTATTTATTTATTAAAACATTTTTATATATGTTTACACTATGTGCTTTATATATGTTTACACTATCTGTAATAGTGACAGATTTTCTTTTCCTGGGCTCCAAGATCACCGCAGATGGGGACTGCAGCCAAGAAATTAAAAGATGCTTGCTCCTGGGGAGGAAAGCTATGGCAAATCTAGACGGCATACTAAAAAGCAGAGACATCATCCTGCCGACAAAAGTGTGTATAGTCAAGGCTATAATTTTCCCAGTTGCAATGTATGGCTGTGAAAGCTGGACCATAAGGAAGGCTGAGCGCTGAAGGACTGAGGCCTTTGAATTGTGGTGCTGAATGAGACCCTGCGAGTCCCCTGGACTGCAAGGCGATCAAACTGGTCAGTCCTAGAGGAGATCAACCCTGACTGCTCTGCCAGATACTAAAGATGAAACTCAAATACTTTGGCCACCTAATGAGAAGGAAGGACTCACTAGAGAAGAGCCTGATGCTGGGAGCAATAGATGGCAAAAGAAGGGGACGGCAGAGGATGAGGTGGATAGATGGAGTCACTGAAGCAGTCGGTGTGAACTTAAGTGGACTCTGGGGGATGGTGGAGGACAAGAAGGCCTGGAGGAATGTTGTCCATGGGGTCACAATGTGTCGGACAGGACTTCGTGACTAAGAACAAAATTGTGATATCTTGTCAGCCCAGTATGTAAACAATCCACACATTCACCAGCAATAAAACTAAAGTCCTTTAATGCTAATTGTCTACAAGATTTACAACTCTATAGATAAGCTCTCTAATAGTGGTCCTTGCTATACAGATGTTAACCCCCTAATGGCTTCTCTTCCCAAGCCCATGTGGGATCATTCTCCCAAGTCACGCCTTTCCTCTCTCCTCTCTCTCCTACGTAATAAATCTTGCCATTCTTGATATCTATGTAAAATCCTCCTGTTCTTAGCTTTTTTCAAAAGCTGGCCTACTGTGTCTTCTGTTTCTGACTGGGGGAATCAGCATTAGGGAGGGAAGAGGCAGCTTGCTCTGCCTCTTTCTGAATAGAACTCGCACCTTCCTCTTTCTCATGACTCCCTGGTTCTAATAAAGGACCAGGCATTTGCTCAACGTGCTGGGAGTCAGAAGAAGACACAGCAGCTGGCTCCGCTGTCCCTACGCTGAGTTGTGGGGTCAATTCTTGGACACTGGTCATCAAGTGCAAGTCCTCCTCATGACTCACTGCTTCTGTCGGAGCTTCATGCACAACAAAAATTTGTGTAATATTTGCATTTTCTAATTTAGATGCAGAAATGAAAATGAGAAATATGTATATTTAGAAAGTGTGAATGCACTTGAAGCAGAAATGCAATGCATACTACCATAGCGGGTTAAGAGTGTGATCAAGGGACCTGTGTGCCTGCTGTTTAAATGATAACAGTGGATGGGCAACTGTAAGACCACTCCTCTTCCTTCTCATGCTCTTGTATTTTATCTTTATTTGATGAGTTGTCCATCCAAATCCATTTTCAAGTACACCTTCACACAGATGATTGCCACCTGCCAGCTCTTCAAATATAAGACTGTAATTAGCCCAACATAGTAAGGAGTGGTGGAATTATATTATATTCCTCCACTGATTGTAAGCCCTGATGAGACCTAGCAACATAGGCGTTGGTTACCGATTTCAAGGGCACTATTGTTGACCAATCCCTTTTCTTTCATGGGCTCAAGTGGCAACTGCAGTAAAGAAACACAAAAACCATTTTAAAAGTTAGAATATATTTCAGCACAAATACAAATGCTCCCCGACCTGCCTGAGCTCTCTCTCTCAAGTGTCTGAAAATAGCTTTTAGAGGAGCAGGTATTCTTGTGTAGAAGCAATTGCCTTAAAGAGGGAATTGAATGACCTCTTTGGCTGTTATGTTCCTGTATGGGACTATATCAGTGTCAGTCATGAGCCACAGTCAAAATGTTGGTTTTGTTGAAGTCAGGGACAATGTTTCTATTGGAGCCACTTGTGTCTTTGGAATAATCTGTTTGGAATTCCAGTAGAGTAAATGGCTGTCAACCAGTTTGAACCTTCAGGGTCTGAACATTCCTTGCTTTTGCTAATGTTTCTGTTGAGGGCTTCTAATGTTAGAATTAATTTATAATTGGGTTCAGCATATTAACATACTGACAATGCTTTAGTTTAAGATTTACATATGTTTAATTTTTAATTAGATATAATTATCAACTGAGCAGTCTCCTCTTGGAAATTTTGCTTTGGAACATTTTGCAGTATGTCCCAATAAATATTATATATATTAATGGTATGTATGCTACATCATACATGGCTAGGAAGTGTTTGCTACAAACCTGTTTTCTAAGCTATTGCATGCTTTTATTATTCTAAAAAATATAACTTGGCTAACCATTGCACAGTTTATTTATATTTCCAGCTGAAATAAATAAAAACTATCCAGAGCCCAATCTATGTGGCCAATGTCTCTTTTCAGTGAAAGTCTCCTGGATTTAAGATCTGCACAAACTTCACTTTGGGTTATTATTAATTTGTTTCTATACTAACCAACAGTCAATGCTTTCTGGGTGGCTTACAGTAGTTTATTTCCTATTTGTGAGCTAAAATTCTCTTGGGTTTGGAAAACTACTCAGGGAAAGTTGTTCCAAGGAGACCTTAGAGAGCCTTTCTTTATAAAGGTTTAGAACCTATGTAAGTATCATGGGAGATCTCTCTGACAGATCTAATGCTTTTCTATCTTTCTTTTTTTTTTCATTAAAACTCCTGCAGAGGCATGAATTTGGCCAAAGTAGCCAAAGATGTTTAATCATAAACCCCTCCTTGGTTTTTCTAATTCCAATTTCCCTCTACCCCTCCAAACCCACACACTAAAATGCTGTTAGCTCCATGGAGGAAAACAACACCTTTAGGAGGGAGGAAGGGAGTTAGATTGGAAAACTGGGGCAGCTGGAGGAAGAAGTCATTAACAGCACAGTCCCATGCATCCTTAATCAGAATTAAATCTCATTGCCTTGGAATGGGTTTGTAGCTAAGTCATTTAAGATTTTTATGTCTGCACATACATGGAATTGGGCTGTAAAGTCTCCAAAGATTCAAGCAGATGTCTTCCACAATCTAGCTACCTCAGACCTTTTAGAAAGAGACACCAAATCACCTTCCCAATTAGGATTATCAGATAACAGTTCCCCACACACATAGGGATGGAAGCTGACATTCATGAGACAACTTGGACTTGACAGTTACAGATCCCCTATCATACTCTTGATATTTGTTACCATTTTAAACACTCTCATTTGTATACGAATCCATTGAAATGTGTTGACATTATCTTTACTGTACATGCAGAGAAATGGTAATCCATAGCCAAGCGAACACACACAAAATTCTGTTCCAAAGGACTCTGCCAAAAAAACAATTGGTCCCATCATCATGGGTTTAGCCCACTTGAGATGATTCCTCTTAGCCAGCTCCATAGAAGTTGCTTTCTGTTGAAGGACACTGATATCGCTCCATTGTTTAAGGCAAAGCATGTCTGGATTTTGCTAGTAGCTATTACTGTTAGTAAAAATAATAGTCCACCTATTCTATTAGACTCAAGGCAGCTTACATAACAACTTACACAATTATATTGATACAAAATACTAATATTAGAAATGCTAAAATATATAGAATAAAACTAGTCCAATGCAGTCTCACAGGTCCAAGCTATTCCCAAAGGCCTGTCAGAACTTTTTTTTTTTTTTGGTCTGCCTGCAAAAGCACAACATAGCCCATATAGCCTTCCCTCCTGGGAAGGAAGTTCTGCAGCCTTGGGGCAGCCACTGAAAAGGCCCTTTCCTGCATTCCCATGAAGTGTGACTGTGAAGTGACGGGAGTTAGAGAAGGTTCTTTGCACAACATTTTAGGGAACAGGCAGGGTCATAAGGGAGAATACAGTCTTTTAGATATCCTGAACCCCAAGCTGCAAAGGCCTTTGTAGGTCATAACCAGCATATATATTGTGACCAGAAGTAGTCTGGGGACCAGAGACGTTCTTTCAGTAAAGGAGTTGTGTGCTTCCTAGAAACAGCCCCAGTCAACAGTCTGGCAGTAGCTTCAGAGGCAACCCCACATAGCTATAATGGTCTCCCATGCACAGTTCCTGTATTATATGCTCAAATTTAGTGTTCAGACCACATGGCAATCCTTAAAACCAGCTTATGTTTAAACATTCTGTGAATAAGAATACACATACAAAGATGTACATTCACACAGTTCAGGTATATCTGCTTTAATCTGAGCATCTTTAATGTGATGCTGTTCATTTGGATGCACTTATCTCTTTAGAAAATCACATATGCAACTGAAGCCACTACAAAACTCCAATCAGACACGGATACATGTTGGCCATGAATCTCTTCTAGGTTTTATGGAGGAACAAGAGATCTTTGTACTAGCAGGAACTGTAGGTTTGACAGCAGGGCCATATGTTCTGTTCAGGCCTCTTGGTCTCCATGGGAAGGCTCATCAATGTACCTTCTTGAATACTTGCTTACACTTGACCCCACAAGCTCTTATTTCCTGCAAAAGAAAGTTCAGTTCTTAGATGTTACTTCTGCAACTATTTTGTTTCTCTGTCAGAAACTGTAACTGTAACTGCCATAACATCAAAGGACAGACACAACTAAGCTCAAATAGCTGAATAATTATAGTGAAACCATGTTCCCACTCAGTCATAGAAGCTCACTCAATGATCTTGGCTCAGTTACTCCCTCTTAGGCTATCTTACCTTACAGGGTTGTTGTGATGATAAACTGTGTGTGCATATGTGTGTGGTGGAAAGAGATTTATTTTATTGTGCAACAGAAAAACAAAAAACACAATTCAAGTAGGGAAAAAGAATAAAATAAATAAAAGCAATTGGCCCATGGCACCAGTTATAATTACAAATGAATTATACATCACTCCCTCTCTTTCTTTCTCTCTGTATATAATAGAGTATATTACCATTATTAAAGCTGATTATGCACAGACTTCAACAAAGGGACTTCAAATATCCATATATTTATCCATGTCTAAAATGTCACCCATTCAAAAACTGAAAATTTCTCTAAATTCTCCACTCTTTGTGTGATTGAGGGGGTTGTTTATTCTTCAAATATTATATTAGTATTTTAGCTGTCAAAAGAGTGAAGAAAATGAATTTATGTTCATCTTGTGTTCAAGTCCAAGAAATAACACAAGAATATGTGTTAAAAAGATAAATATTAAAGAACTTTCCCAAACTTTGTCTGAATTATTACCTCCTCCCAAAATGAAGCTGGCATTGGGCATTGCCAAAACATATGAAAAAATGGATTAGCAAGGGTACACTTCCAACAACTGGCTAATTCATTCATTATCTACATGAACTGTTGGCTGATGTAGCTCATCAGCATTAATCAATACCTCCAATAACACAGGCAGCAATGAAGTTGTAAAACCACCAAGACCAAACCTGGATTCTAAATAATGCTTCAGTTGTCTATATTGCCATGAAGCCACAGCTGAAAGTGAAAGTGAACGTGCCTCTTCTCTGCACACCAGTCCTCTAATGCTTCTCTCATTTGGGCTTGGCCCAAATTCCCAGACCCCCCCCGCCCCCAGTTCTGCTTCACATTCTGATTTCTCTGAAGTCTAGCCAGCAGTCCTGGAAAATGTGCACCCAAAGCAACCATCTTTCTCACTCCCAAGATCAAGTTTGCCAATGTCCCTTGAAATCAATCAGTTTACTCAATTTTAACTTAATAAAATATAATATCTTGGGACAAATATTCCCAAATAACCAATGGACTCAGAATAAAGTCTAAATTGCCAGTTAGTTAATACTCTATGATGTTTGGGGAGACCCATATATTTCAACAAGTTTCTTGGAAGAAAAGTGGGACATAAAGTGTAGAAATAATTAGAAAAGCTCTCCTATCTGGGGACCAGTTGTATTTATCAAGATTTTCTAATCCTTGCAGTGATAATGGATTTTGTGTGCTGCTCTCTATTCCTTCCATTAGTATTTTAATCTGTTAGTTAAATTTATTTTAACCAAGATTTGCAAATATGGTACCGACATGTATGGTACCAACATGTATGGTACCAACAGTCATATATAACTGCTTATTAGGCATGCATTTGTGTTTCATTTTGTTTTATTGTAAGATTTTAATACCTTCACACAAATTGATATAAACAATAAGTGCACCCCTTGTTCTTTCCATTTGCAAATGTCTTAATTGCCAGTTTGTTCTAAGTTTCTCTTTCAGTTAACAAAAGATATTGGCACTGAGATGAGTTTTCTCTACTTCATCTTCTTCTTCATCTGCACTCTGGAAAGAGGGAAACCTCAACCCTCAATGGTGGCCTCAGGGAAATATGATGCTAGAGGGCAGAGGCAAGAGCGGTGGCCCAGGGCTGCATGGCAGGTCACTCATCCTATGTGTGACTATGTTAGAAAGTCTTGCTCCCTAGCTGGTGCTCAGCACATTTTTAGGATAAGGCAGGAGCAGAATGTGGACTGATTGTTCCTCTTTGATCTCTCCAACCCTGGGCTAGATAAAGGAGGAGGGTACTTGGCTAAGCCTTAATTCCCAAGTGTCCTTCCCAGCGTACATAGGCATCAAACCAGATCAGGTAACAGAGGCCAGGTCTGCTGGGTGTTTTGCATAGGAAGAGGAAGCACTACCAAGCCTGTGGAATAGCTGCATGGCGTTCAGATCTGAAAATACAAAACTGCTTATGAAACAATGGCTTCACCTATTGTATTCTGTATGTGAACAGGAACACTACAATACAAACAGGTCCCCCCAATGCACTATTCGACTGTGAACACAAAAGATTTCAAGCATATGAACATAAAGAGAGCCATGTTGGATCACACCAAAGGAATTTACCATGAAAGGTGGCCAAAAATAATTTCATATAAGAATGTGTTAAATGCCTATATAATCAAGGGTCCTGTTCTTACAGTGGCTAGGTAGATGCCAGTGCCAAGCAGAATGTATTCAAATAGATCTTTCTCTCATGTTCTTCTGCAACTGGTAGACAGAGGCATAGTGCTCTGATACCAGAGGTAAAATACAGCTTTCATGACTAGAGGACATTCATAGCCTTAGCTGTCATGCACTCATCTGATATCCCTTTATAGTCATCAAGTTGATAAGAATCACTAGACCTTGTGGCTATTTTCTATGTGTTAAGTGTGGAGCAGGCCAAAGCACCAGGTAGCTATACTCTAGTAGGTCATCAAGTGTTCCCCACTACCCACAAATACAAGACATACATTAGAAGCTAGGCTTAGACTTACTCCACCTTTCCAGATCATTCTACTCAAAAGTTTAATATCCAGCATACACATTCCAACCCTTTTAGACTAAAAAGGATAGCACATACATTTTGGAGATGTTCTAAGAACTCCCCAAAGACCTTCATCTTCTGTAGTCAATGACTAGTATGATACTGACACAAAAGGGAACTTGAGCTTTCTTTGATCTAACAGAAAAGTTCAAACCTGGATTTCTATAGATGAAACTTTTAGATGAAGGTAGACAATATTTTAAAGAAATAAATGACCTGGATGCCATAAACATACTTTGCTCAGTCAAAAAGAAAGCTTTTGATATATTAATCTCACTGGGGAAAATCCATTCCTGGGTGAATGACCTTAATGGGTAAGTGATTTGAATGGAACTGCAATAAGGAGGAAAAAAGCTCTTTAGATTTCAAAAGGTACCAGAAAGTGGACCAGGCTGAATGGAAGTAGGTCAATACATGAAGAAATACTGGGAGACATTTTGTTCCGTATTGTATCAATGAATCTGGTTAAGAAGGGAAAGAAAAACTGATAAGAGACCATCTATTAAAGAATACTTTTGGAAGAAACTGAAAAATGGTTGTGCTTTGACAGTGCAGAGAAATAAGGTCCACACTGGTAAGGGAGTTAACATAAGAAAGATGTACGAATTATCTAGAAAATGCTGACTTGGAAAATAAGCTGCCTGGAAATAATTGCAAATAAACCTGTAAAGCTTATGGCTGATCGCTTAATAGACGTTGTAAAAGGATTAATTAATTAACATTTGGGATACAGTCTGACCATAAAATTATTATTGAAGCATCATGGAATAATTTTTATGGCAACTGGATGCTCTACACATCAAAGGGCTCTCAAGAATAAAAAAATGTTAAGAACAGATTCAAATATATTATGAAAAGAGAAAAAGTGGGGATGGGGAGGAAAGACGATGAACAAAGATTTAAGAAGCAGATTGTAAGAAGAGAAAATGCAGGCCTCATTAAAATACAACTGGGAGAGGGTTATTTAGGGCTATTGAGAAGGAATTTTTAGATACATACAGCTTAGTGTGCTAGTTTGGCCCAAAGATCCAGTTCTACTGCACCAGACACAGGTATTTCGCAGGTACCTTCATTAGCTTATTCTTAAGAAATTGTCTATCGTAACCAGTAGGACACAAATCTCCATAAAGATGGATATAAATATCTTACAAATACTGGAAGACTCAAACTAGTCCCCCCTTTTTATTTAGGGACCACCTTCACAATGGCTCTGTTTATGGTCACTGGCCACATCAGCTCCTTATTCCTGTGCAGTTCTAGATATGCCAGCTTCAGAGTGCCCCATTTTTGGAACCTACAACTGGGTATTGCTACTGAGATCAGTGCTAGCAATAGATACACATCAGTGAAGCTCTGTGGACATATTCGGGGTTTTCTGGGCAGTTTCCACCTCCCAGCAGCAGAGCTCCAGTTTGCTCCATCTGATCTTTCCTCAGCCAGCAGATTTATTTAATTATTTGGAATACTTATATGCCGCCCCATTCGCAAAAACCTCGGGGCAGCTTCCAATACAAATAAATAGCTATACAAATATAAAAAAACTGGAAACATCCCGGCATAAATATAAAATCTTTAAATAAATTCAACAATTAAAATAACGTTTAAATAAAAAGGTCTTGGCCTGGTGCTGAAAAACAAATAACAACGGCGCCAGGAGGACCTCTCTGGGGAGCGCATTCCATAAGTGGGGTGCCACCACAGAGAAGGCCCTCCTCCGGGTACTCACCCTCCTAATATCTTTCATGGAGGGTTCCCAGAGAAGTGCCTCTGCTGCCGATCTCAAGGGGCAGGAGGGTAGATATGGACGCAAGTGCTCCTTCAGGTAAGATCTCCGAGTCAGGGCTCTACTCTTTTGGGTTAAGATTGCATTATGAAATCTTCGTACTTGAATGCATGTTCCACTGAAATAGGAGCTACTTCCAAGTACATGAATCCAGTTTTATGGATTCCAGGAAGGAATTCTAGGAAGTCTGGTAACTAGCTATTTTTCTCTAGAATTGGACTGCTGGTGCTGGAATTCTCCTATTTTACAGATGGGGAAGCAGCTGAGTGCTACCCAGTAAGGGCTGAATGGGGACTTAACTCCAGATCTCCTAAATATAACCCATAGCCTCTCTGGTTCTGTCCTTCATTCAATTGTCTATGAGGACACTTCAAGCCTGAATATTCCATCTTTGTTCACAAGCTTAGAATTCAATGACTCATCTGGATGCTTACCAAGCTGGCATACTAAATAAATGGTGCAGTGCATTTAGTAGGCAGTAAGTTCTCAGGAATGGCTTTGTAGCCTGTTGTGGGGAAAAGGCTTTCAGCCGTACCATAAACAACTACTTGAAGAAATAATAAACTTTATTAGGTGCTAGTGTCTAGGAAAGTCAGAAATAATGGTTAGAAAGAAAATGATACTTTCAAAACTGAATTGCTCACTTTCATTTCCTGAGCTATAAATTATTCTACTCTTAAAGGAAAGGAAAAGGAAAGCTTTCCCTCTTTCTCTCTCACATATAACCTATGGGTTGGAATTAAAAAAATCTCCCCCATTTACACAGTACTTGTGATGGGGTGTATCAGAAACACTTCTATTATACAGTATCTCTTGCACAAACTGATCATATCCATATGCTGGGGTGGGGAAATATGGACAGCTAATATAAAAAATTCCTGAATTTAGAACATGACTATTTATAAAAGGACTTTGTAAAACTCAGGGTGTTGCATGAGATTACCTCTTTAGAAGTAAATCAAGCTGCACCAGTGCTTAGCTACTCTATAGCTAGCTAATGTAATGTGCAAGCAAGCTGCGGATTCTTGCATTTAGCTATAGAAACAAAGAAGGGAGAGGGCTTGAAATGAAGCAGAATTATAGTTAAAGCATTTCATGTCCTTACCAAGTGCATTTCATCTCCTTCAATCCACTGGGTCCAGCCACGGCCTTCTTTTTCTCCCTTCTGCACACAAAGAAGTTTATCTCCATCCCATGTCACACAGGTCTAGTAAAAACCGAAAACAAATAACTTTAAATGGCACTGGCACACGCCTTTAGGTAAGATGGATGTTTTTAAAAAGCTCCAAACATCTATCATCTGTAAAAATGACACTTAAAAGCTGAAACTTGGCAACCATGATTGGCTTGATGAGATCTGAAAATATGCTAGAATGTAAACAAATCCAACAAAAATTGTGATATGTACTGCGAGCTAAAAATGCCAAACATTGACACCGTTACTCTAATTTACCGCCTTTTTTAAACAGTAATTTTTAAAAATTGGTGAAAATGATAAAGAGTAATAATACTTGGAGAAAATAATAAATAATGAATATTGCTTATTCAGGCTGGTTGTGGAAGGAAATCCTTCACTGGGCTAGTGAGGTTCTGTGCAAAATTGTTAAAGTTTTCTTGTTCCATGAGAACGGCAGCCACTGCTAAGAACATTATATGATGCATGTCCGGAAGGTAGAATGCTGCCAGTACTCCAAGGTATGCAGAAGGTTTCTAAGTTGCAGAAGAAATATAATAGATTCTGTGTATGATTCCTTGTTGTTGTTGTGGTAGTTGTGGTTGTTGTGTAAGTTCTCAGGGCCAAGCTACACTTTATTATATAAATTTGGGACTCTAGCATCTGTGGGGAATGGGAAGAGGGGTGACTTTAACCTTTCCTTCTGCTATAGTCTGAGTCTAGATCCCTATCACTACCACAACATAATGCAGTTTACATTACATTACATTACATTCCAAAAACAGTTCCACAAATTTTAGGTGTGGGAAGTCCAAAGTTACCTCCCCATTAAAGCCTCTCCCCACATTAAAGATACATTGAAGCCTCTTCCCACTCCATATCAGAACCCCTGAACTTACTTATGAGGAGAGCAAGACATAGCCACTACCTACATTTGTAAAGGCCCTCATGGAAATAGGAATGAAATGCATAGATAGGAGAACTGGAAGCAACAGGATGCCATCCTGCCCTTTTGAGAGCAGAAGCACAACATTAAAGACCCCAAATCCCTGCTCTTCCTTTACATCTAGTAGGAAAAGAACCATGTGGATTGGGGTCCTTGTGCTGTCCTTCTGAAGGCAGAAACATGCATGGAGGCTCTTACCCCTGCCATTCCAGTTTCTGCATGGTGGGAAAAGGATGTACAGGGGCAATCACATGGTCCACCAAACAGACCTCGCTCACACTCATTCAGATTGTGTGAATCCAAGTCCTGTTCTGCCACTTGCAAATCTTAAGCATGGAAAGAAAGCAGGGATGTGTGTGGAATCTCTGTCCCTTTACTTGCCCATGCTGTAGCTATGAACAAGCATTTACCGAACTCTGCAAATCAGAGTTGCTGATTACAACAGAGAACCCTAACTGTTCAGCTGAGTGCTGTCACATTTACTCCTCAGAACATCCCTGCCACCATGTGGAGGTAAGGGGTAAAGGGACAGAGGGACACAAACCCATCGTCACCTCTTCTCCATGCCTACGTTTTTCTAATGACCAAAATGATTATTGATTACATGCGTTCATGCCTGATATCTACACAAAGAAACTAGAAACTTAATCTAGAAACAAACTATATGTATGCATACAAACAAATCATCTAGGTATGCAGGCTAGGTAAACATACTTCGTTAAACCTGTTTTGTCTGCATTTCATGGCTTGTAAAGCTCATCATCATCATTATCATTCACTTATTACAGTCACAGACCAGGAAAATTAATAAACACATAAAATAGCAGTAGTCAAATTAAAACACAGTTAAAACAAGAATGATTTATACAATTTTTTCACTCAAGCAGATGACCACATTTTCCCTAAACTGCACTGTAGGCATAAAAAATCGGCAACACTTACAGATACATCCCTTAAACAAATAGATACCAAAATGGAAGAATCATTACCATAAAGATCTATTATTAATGATTTAATCAATTTCTCTCTCAATTCTCCATAAAAGCTGCAATATAGGAGAACACGTTGCACTGCTTCTACTGATGCGGCATCACAAAAACATACTCATTCATTTATTGGGATCTTGCTTTTAATAGCGCTGATGGTAGCACATTAAAACGGACAAGAGTAAATGCTTTTCTGTACTTTGGGAGAGTTAATGTGTACAGATATGTGGCTACAGCAATTCCAGCATTGTAGCAGTTATTGCACGTGAAATGACATAATGAGGAAAAAGTTTTATTTGCAACAGTTCTCAAATTTTGAAGTTCTGGATCTATTCATCTTTGTACAACAAGAATGGGGATTTCTCCAGCCCATTATTGTCCAACACTTCTGCAGAGAAATCTAGCCTATGTAGCTTCTTTTCCATTTCTCTTACCCATCAGGTAACATGCATATCTGAAAGCAGTAGAGAAAGGTAGCTATCAGGAGCTGCTAGAAAATGTAAATAGAACTACCATTTAAAGGCTTCAGTCCATGCCTTGCACTCAACAGATCAAATCCCTGCTTCCAGATAGAAGGCTGTGTATTCTGCACACAGGGAGGGAGGCCCAAGAGCTTCCTAAGAAAAATAGACTGAACTTTATAGACTGAAATCCCAAAATCCAAATAGGGATGCTATTAATAAGCATGGGCCAAGGTCTTTGCTTTATGAATTTGTATTGCAGAGGGAATACAATGGAACCCTGTCTACTTCCACTAGTACCAGGGATTGTGTTAGAAACTTGTCCCTGCAGACGACATCTGACTTGACTAGTGGTCTGAATGTGCAAGTATCTAATAAGGAACTGTAGGTGCTTTCCCATGAAACTATTATGTAATTTAGACCATAACATTTCCCAGATCAAAAGCTAATTTAAGATCAATAAAGGCAATGAATAGCTTCTCATCAGAAATGCAGGTATACTTCTCTGCCAAATGGACCTGCACACAACAGTGGTCTAAGGTTGACTGGCCAGGTTTAAACCCAATCTGTTCCTCACCTGTTATACAATTATCTCCATGGTTTATGTTTTAGCTCTTTAGCCCAATGACTGAAAGAAGGTTGACAGGGCAATAATTGACAGTATGAGCCCTAAAACCATTTTTGAAAATGGGAACTATAATTCTTCACTCTGGATATCAGGAATTCTTCCAGAGTTAATATAAGTAAACAAGACTCACAATAGAGGAGCCCACCATTTTGGGTTAGTTTTTAGAAGATCAGGTTGAACAGAGTCTGGGCCAGGAGCTTTACCAGCCTTGAGTTTGACAATCAAATCTATAATTTCACCAGGATTGACAGGAAGCCATTCTGGAACATCAGATGACAAACAAAGGATATGTGAGGAAAGAGTATTAGAGTTGTGAAGTATGACTGAAAAATGTCTTTTCCATAGCTAGAAATACAGGAAGCTGGATATTCATGTTGCTCTGACCAGGCTTCTGTCACAAGAAGCTGCCAAAATAATTTACTATCTGAATTTTGTATAGCACATAGTAATAAATCCTATTTCTCTCTCTCTAGCACTTTTCTTTTGATTAATAAGAATATTACATTCTTGTTTTGATTGATAGCATATCTCTGGTAAACATTTGTCTCTATTATCTCGATCCACAGAATAAACCTGCCTAATCTTATTCTCAAACAATCTACACTCATCGTCAAACCACCTTTTTTTTCTGTGGTATTTATTTCCAACCAGAGAACTATCTGCCTCTAGAGTCCTATCTGTACACTAGAGATTAATATATCATAATGATACAGCTTTTCTTCATCAATAGAGGTTAAGATGTTACGATATAGTTGCAGACCAATAAGGCATGCTATGAATTAGTCAAATTTACTCTGTGGTTTGTTTGGTTTTTTCGTTCACTTGATCATTTTTACACATGGGAGCAAGGAAGAGTCTGCTAATGAGGAACTAATGGGTGAGTGGTTCTTTAGGGAAGGTTCAACTAATGTTATTAATGGATAGTGGTCACTATTGGTATGGAATCAATATAGAAAGTCTTAATTGCATGCTTAAGTGACTGACAAACAAGGACATAGTCCACAACACTGCTCCCTAGCGTTGAACTAAAGGTAAACAAACTCAACATATAATCTAGTGTGCTTCCACTCCAGATAATTTTATCCCATTGGCATGCTAAAAGATCTAAGCATACACCAGTGATGCTTTCGATGATACCCTTAGAATGTCTAGTATATGGATAGTGCCCTATCATATGGTTAATCCCACAAAGAAGTTGAGAATTTGTAAATGAATTGTCATCAAGGCCCAGCTGGGCATTAAAGTCACCAGCCATAAGGATCTTTGCTGATAGGAACTTTGTCCATCTATGAGTGATGTATCATTTTAACACTTCCCACTGAACTATATTATCAGAAAGGCATTTGGTTGCAGGTATACAGGTATTAAACAATAAAATTTGAAAACACCCCCAATTAGAGTTGCCATAGCAACAGTTCCGCAGCTGGGAAGAGCAACTACTTCAACATTAAGAGATGCCAAGACTAGGCATAGCAAACCTGCTCTGGGCCTACCTTTCTTTGAAGATTTAATTGCTGCCAAGGAGGTAGCAATATATCCATTGAACATTATTTGTTCACACACCCAAGCCTCCTGCAACAGAACAATATTAAAAGATTTAATATAATTTATGAATGGTTTATCCCTAATCTTCCCTTTCCAACTTGCTACATTCCATGAAAGACAGCTGATTAAGGGTCATGGTAGTTTTTATTTGAGAGTCAGTCAACCAAGTTTAGCTTTTCTAGCAAACTGTGTTGGTCAAAAAGACACTTCCACTTTTAGTTGGTGATACCCACTTGTTTGGAGACCCAGAAGGGGTAGATGGTGAACCAAGTTCCAGAAAATGGAAACTAATCCAGTTCTTTGAGTCAGCAATGCCAACATTTACTTTAGACTTAACTGCCAATTTTTCCTCAGATTAGAGATCAACGGTTTTAAGTGATCCATCTCACTCTGGTTTCTTGATTAAACATACTGGATAGAGCACTTTGCTAGTTAACAATGATGCAGCCACTGAGTCCTTGTGAGAT